TTCTATTCTATTCTATTCTATTCTATTCTATTCTATTCTATTCTATTTCTATTTCTATTTCTATTTCTATTTCTATTCTATTCACATTTTCCTCTCTGTCTGTAACTTAGAAGGACCAGTGGTCTTCTTTAGGTCATGTACATAGCAAAAAATCAAAAGCTTCAGAGGAACTATCTTCTGCTGTGAGCATTGGGAAACGATCTTTTAAACTGTGGTGGTATCTCTCAGCTCCTAGCTTCTGAAAACCAAAGATAGAGTAATCTTGACCTACTGAACTGGATTTCATGACAATGTTGATAAGCAAAGATGAATCTCTTTCTGAGTTGATAAAAACTATTCTTGAAAATAGCAACCCTGGTTGCATCTACTGTAAAAAAAAATCCTTGCGCAGTTTTAGATCTGGCAGCTCTATGTGCCCAACATTAAAATTTAGAACATAGAACACCGAATAACAGAGTTGAAAGGGACTTTGGAGGTCTTCTAGTCCAACCCCCTACTCAAGCTGGAGACTCTACACCCTTTCAGACAAGTGGCTGTCCCAGTGGTGGTATTCTACCGGTTCAGCCTGGTTCAGTTGAACCGGTAGTAAAAAATGTTACCGTTTGGCCAAACTGCTGTGCCGCCCCTCCCCCAGAGCTTCGTTTTTGGCCTCCTGGGCCTCAGGGAAGCCTCCTGGGAGCAAAAATTGCCTCCAAGGAGGCTTCCCTGAGGTTCAGGAGGCAAAAAAAAATGGAGCGTGGGGGTATGTGCAAAAAAAAAGAAAGAGAAGAAGCCACGCCCACTCAGTCATATGGCCACACCCACCTAGCCACATCCACAGAACCAGTAGTAAAAATATTTGTACCCCACCTTTGGTTTGTCCAATCTCTTTTTGAAAATCTCCAGTGCTAGAGTACCCACAACTTCTGAAGGCAAGCCATTCTACTGATTAATTATTCTGACAATAATTAATGGTTAATTGTTCTAAATTTCTAGGTTTAGTTTCCATTTTTAAGAGCTAACTATGCAAAACCTATCTCCTCCTCCTCCATTCTACATGGTTTACAAGGAAATTAGCAATTTTCAACAACTTTTACTTTTAAAAACAGGAACTAAAGGCTAAAACATGAAGAATGGTTGCAGGAATTGGGTATGTCTAATTTAATGAAAAGGAGACATGATAGCAGTCTTCCAATATCTCAGAGGCTGCCACTAAGAAGAGGGAGTCAAGTTATTCTCCAAAGCACCTGAGGGCAGGACAAGAAGCAATAGATGCGAAACTAATCAAGGAGAGAAGCAACCAAGAACGAAGGAGAAATTTCCTGACAGTTAGAACAATTAATCAGTGGAAAAACTTGCCTCCAGAAGTTGTAGATGCTCCAACACTGGAGGTTTCAAAGAATAGATTGGACAACCATTTGCCTGAGATGGTATAAGTTTTCCTGCTTGACCAGGAAGCTGGACTAGAAGATCTTCGGAGTCCCTTCCAATTTTCTTATTTTATTACTCTGACAGGCCTATAAGGAGAGGCTTTAGAATAAGCAAAACACATTCAGAAAGCCTATATTGTCACTGGAATCATTAGATAAGGCATTGCAGCAACATTTAGCCCAGTGTTATGTAGTCAGGGATAAAAAACAATATGGCTGCTTCAATTTTAGAAACACAAAACCCCACATTAACAATACCTTTTTGAAGGCGTTCATCTCTCTAAGGATTAATGAAGCAAAAGAGCTATTTAAAGATTCATCATTCTACTTAATCTATATTTTTATGACAATTTCAAACCAAACATGGTCTTTTAAAACTCCTTTCCAAAGAGTTGAGTTTGTTTCTAAACATAGATACGCCAAAACCACTGTTGAACAAAAACCAGCTATTAGGAAGGACAACTTCCTTGTTAATGCTGTTGCTTGTCTTTGTGGTTTTTTTAGTGATTAATTTAGCATAATAAAATAACATTAAGAAGATGAATGGTTTCTATTGAAGGAAAGAGAAGGAATGCAAATGTGCTGTAGACCTTTGGACCTGGCCCTCTGGAAGTTGGACCCATGGACATTCCAAGGAAGG